AACCGGCGCAAAAAGCGGTTTAGAAAAAACCAAAGCTAAAAAACCCACGTAATGAAGGGAAAAATAAGCCTGGATATCTACACCCGCCACATGCTAAATGCGCCTGAGGGAGGGTGGCGGGTTTCACCCTAATATATTTTAAACAAAAAATAATGCATGCTAGCCAAGAGCTCTTGAAGCGCTAGAACATAATTAAAATAAATACACACTTGACGAGCTGCTGGCTGTGACGTGGGAACGCCTAGACTGACTAAGTCACACAATACACTACAACAAGCCAATGCGGTATGCCAAGTGCGCCCTCTAACAAGTGCCACCAAAACATCTATTTCTGGCTTTACTTCGTACCGCAAGAAATACCATGTTTGTTTTTACAACAGTGGTTAACAAAAAAGTAGGCACAGCCGAATAATCAGAGTGTTGTCACGCTGCCACGAGCGAATATAGACAAAAAACAGAAGGGGAAATGCAGAAAAACCTGAATTATGTAAAATAACAAAAACAAAATTCAGTACAATATAATACATGGTAATCGAGCACGCCAGCTTGAAAACATAAATATTTTAAATTCTGCTGTAGTGCCTCCTATTTTGAAGGAATGGATACTAAACCCGGATACGTCCCCCACTACCAGGGGCAATTTTGCTTTGATAACTTCACGAACCCGAGAATAACTTAACTTCCTATTTGCCCGGATCAATGAGCACCCCCTTTTCCTGTAGTATAGATGTCTGAAAATAAAGACATTAGAACCCACTTTGATCTCTGCTGCCTCTAAATACTGAATTAACTTAGCTACAGGGCAAGTAGGGTTACCCGTTTTGGCAATGCGAACTTTATTGCCTTTCTTGTACTGATCATTTTTACTGCTTCGGATAGTGATGCAAACGTGCGTGTCAATAAAAAACAATATCAGAACCAAGCAAGTAAACATCAACACATATCTCTGATATCTTTTAAAGAAGCTGAATGTTTTAAGAGTTCAACCAGACTACACCAAATACTTGCTGTAACGGGCTCTTTCTTGATTGGTGGTGTGCATCCACTGAATGCTATAGCATGCCGATTCTGCACACTGTTTCGTCTTCTGGCTATGAATGGCGCCCTCAAGCAGACTAATTAGATATAATAACACATGGGAAAGATTGGCAGGAAATACCTAGAAACCGCATCCTCTGGCGAGTTTAACCCACCTATTAAATACGTTAAGATAACTCTTGGCTGTGGAGTCCGCTCTTGATGCTAGTGATATGCTTTTCAATGTTGACACCAAATGAGCATGTTCCTTGTTCGTTCTTAGATCTTCCCAGACTCCCAATTTAAACACATCCGTATCTGGTGGAATAGTGAAAACATGACAAGTTTGTGTATATTCAACTAAACTGAAAAAAAACCCTGCTACTATGGACCGCATTCGATCACTCGAGCCCAGCACTATTGGCTAAATCATTGTCATTGCAAAAATTCAAAATGCAGAAAAGACAGGCTGATATGGATCCATCGATCGATCGAGCCAGGTACATTATCTGACGCCATCACAGCGATAAAGGAAAACTTGGACTTCAGTCATTTGAGCTCAGCACAGTTATCTGTACTCGGCAAAAAAATAAAATACGTATTTTATGGCTTGCAAAGAATACAGCACCCTCTATCACTAGAACAAAAGCCTGCAAGACTATGTTTAGACACATTTTCACCTTTGAACTTTACATTTAAAGGCAAAATACGGAAATTTAACGGTTTCCCATCAAACACAGTGTTTGAGTCCCTGCCTGCAGCAAAAATGCTCGAATCGCTTGGCAATACCATCCAGTCTGCTACGTAAGCAGCGAAATGCACTCCATCTGGACAAATAAATGGCCAAAGTACGCCGATCTCCATAATGGGATCACTATGGTACCTCTACCCCGGCATGATTCCAAATGTCTCATAACTTTACTAATGAGGCATACAGGTGGTAACAACCAATTGTTATCTAATGACCAATCTTGAGTAAAAGCGTCCACAGCCTCTGTGTTTGGACGCCAAGAGCGTGAATTGAATCTGTAAGAGGATGCGAACCTATCAACTGAGAAAGGACCCCACTTAAAATCTACAAATCTGACCAATCGTCTACATCGATGATTCTACTAAGATAATCAGCCTTTTCATTTGAACTCCTTGGGATCCAATCCAATTCTAAAGAAATCCGTGCTGGGAACAGATACTAAATATAGCTAAAGCAATAACCTGTAAATCGGACTTCGTACTGCCCTTGTAACGA